AGTCAAAAAAATCACATAATAAAACACTACATAAAAACTGTATAAAATATATAGGGAAAAAAGCAGAACAAAGCAAAGCCAAGTGGCCCTGGTGGAAGATGATAACTGTCTTGAAATTAATTTCTGCTTTCTAAAGCAAATAACAACACAGATCAATCTATTTTTTATATAGAAATGATATGGAATGTATTTAGTTAAAAAGGCAGAATCACCCTGAGCCAGAACGACAGGAAGATTTTGTGGGTTTGATCTCTACTGCAAATCTATTTGACTCTTAAATGTAGAAACCCAGAAATTCTGAACTAAACTCTTTGGGTGACATTTTACATTGTTAAATTATTAAAGTCATAATTAAAAAGTAAAATACTTCTACTAGGTTAAATATGAAATTCTCCACCAATATTGTCTATTGGCATGGTTACTTCAGCATTCAAGGTGTAAATATTATGATTAGATTAGATTCACATGAATTGAGAATAATTATACATGATCCATGAACTGAGAAAAATTACACATCCTTCTTTGTACAATCTTTCATTTCCTGGATTTCTTAGAATCACTGTTCTTTCCTTTTTAAAAATTTATATAGTTATGACTAATTCTCCAAAGGAAGTGCAAATTTTCTTTCAATACATACAAATACTTTTGGTAATCTGTTAATTTTATCCCTTTCTTGGAGATACCTTTCCTAGACCCCTCCATCATTCTATGTCCACTCGGATTGGTTGTTATCTAAGTATTAGTCTCTCTCAATGATCCCCTCTTTCTGGATCCCATTTATTTCTGTTTCTAGCTTTCCTCACTTATTTGGTGGAACACATCCATTGCTTACTTAAAAAGGGATACAATGGAGGCAAAATATTTAAGACTGCTTCCAGACAATGTTGCTTTGAAGAAGTCTATTGCCATCTGACTGAACTGTCCTCTCCTAAACTTCCTCTACTTCTGAAAGCTCACTTTTATATGGTACAAATAGAAATTTGCATAGAATGCCAAGTGCAAATTGACTATGATTTCATGCAACATTAGTATTTTGCCATCTGGTTTGCTCAACAGTGGGGGGTGGGTAGAGGAATGCAAGAGTTGTGGAGTGAGGGGTAGTATCATAAAGTTTCCAAAACCAAATTATTTTTTATTTTCTTTATTTTCATATCTGTCCTTTATACTTCAAAACAAAAGAATTCCAGGTGATGCCATTAGTGTAATAAGTTTTTCTTTTAATCTAATGTACCAGATTACTACGTGTTATCATTAAAGATGTATTTTGCACCCAGATCATGCAAATGAGTTCCCTGGAAAACCATTGTTCAAAATCAGATATTTATTATAGCATTATTTAGATACTTTATGATTTTTATGGGCCACCATTCAGGCTACCACTTATCTATTTTACAAAGACCAAATCATTTTAGCCATAAACTATCATAGAGGATTGGTAGGTTTAATATGTTGTTTATACCTATGTAAGAAAAATTATCCAGAATGATATTTTATAGATAATACTGCTCTTAGATTCAAATATTTCATTGGCACATCTCATGGACAAGTAGGATGGAATTCTTAAAAGCAAAAGGAGCTCTGGCCAGTGTGGGTCAGTTGGTTAGGGCATCTTCCTGTGCATTCAAGGGTCATGGGTTCAATTTCCCATCAGGGCACATGCCGGGGTTGCGGGTTTGATCCCTGGTCAGAGTGCATATGGGAGGCAAATAATCGATGTTTCTTTCTCACATTCATGTTTCTCTCTCCCTCTCTCTCTAGAATCAATGAAAAACATATCCTTGAAAGGATACAACTTCGGGGGTTTAAACTTTGTGAAACCTATGTATATTGAGAAACATACAATCCTTGACCACATAACTTTTTAGAGAACTGTCTGTTATTATCTGAAGGACATGAAGTATACCCACTCTATTGTATATTCAAAGTGTAGTCTGTAGGCATAATAATTTTAATAATACTAGCAATAATAGGAACAGTAATAATAGCAGCTGTCATTTTGGGGGCTGTCCTAACATGTTTTACATTCCTTATTCCATGTAAAACTTAAAATCTATGAATTATTAATATAATTCCAGCTTTATAAACAAAAAAACCAAGGTTCCTTTATGTTTGAGTAATTTGCCTATTCTGGTATCAGACTGAGATTTGAAACTAGGACTGTTTGACTCCAAATCAAGTGTGCAAACCAGTGTGAGTCTGTGTTGGGTTATCTTAGAGAAAGTGACTTAGTAAGATTTTAGAATGTAAATATAAAAATTTGGAGAGGATCCATAGTTCTGCACATTCACATTCATCCTTCTGGGTGTGTCGAGGAGAACCCTTAATGCAAGTCAGGGCCCTTTGCAGTTCTGTGACATCCCTATGTAGAGGAGGAAAATTAATCTTCCCTTTATCTTTCTGGGCTCTTGGCTGAGACCCTCTCTGTAATAAAAGACAGATAACAGAATAAAAACAAACAGAAATTTAGTAATGAGGTAGGAACCGCCACCATTTTAGGAAGATTTCCCCATTTCAGGTATCAGATTACCTGCCTGAATGTATATCTAACCTTATCTAACCTCTGTAACCCCACCCACTATTTTCATGCCAAAAAGCAGGCCCAACCTACGACCCTATAAAGCTGACCCAAGCCCTTTCTTTGGGGCCCAGAATTTGGAGACTGCCTCTTCTGGGATGGCATGCGTTAAATAAAGTTATCCTTTAGCCTCCTCTGGTGTACAGCCTGAGTCTTTTCTGCTACATTTTGGTTCTCTGACCAGGAAACAACTCATGTGTGCAGGTGCTTTGCCACTGGTGAGGGATCCTCAGGGGTCTGCGGAGCTCAGAGGCGGGAGGGAAGTGCAAGCCCCAGTATTTTCGGGTCCCAGTCCGTCCGGAGTTCCGGCGGACAGCCACTCACGGAGTCCACCCACCCGGGCTGCCGGGGGAGGACAAATGGATCCGGACACGGGACGAGATCTCTTCAGAACCGGTGAGTGCCCCGCGGACCAGGAGCCCAAGATCAGGCCCACCCTATGGGTGGAAAGAGAGATTGATCACCTCTCTTGGCCCTTTGGCCACAGGCAGGGACATCCTATCAGGCGGGAATGTCTAAACTCCATTGAGTGGAGCGTGAGTGTGAGTGAGTGAATGTCTGTGTGGCTCCACTGGCACTCGCCTACGGAGTCTAAGTGGGCCCCAACCTGCAGTTCCGTGGTGCACCTCATATGGCTCAGGGCAGCGTCAGACTCTGGGGGACCCCATCCCTCCTTGCGAGTCTGATCCGGGTCAGGGGTTTATACTGACCTGCCAAAGCTAAGAAGCACCTAAATCCCCACGAGGGGAGCGGCCAAGCGGGTGAACTGAATACCCCCTCCCTGTTTGTCTGCACCAACGTGGGAAGGAAGGGCTATGGGGGGCACCTCGTCAACAGTATTAGGTTGTATGCTTAAGGACTTTGACCGGTTCAGGGGACAGGACCCCTCAATGACCCCGGATCAGCTCGACACTTTCTGCTCGGTTGAGTGGCCTTCATTCAGGGTAGGCTGGCCCCCTGAGGGAATTCTTAATCTGGGAAACATCCGGGAAGTACACCTAGTAGTTACAGGGAAGCCAGGACATCCCGACCAATACATATACATAGACAGGTGGCAGGAACTAGCCCGGGAGCTACCGAGTTGGCTTCGCCAGTGCCAGAAATGGACGCCCAGAACCATCGGGGTCGCCGGGGCCAAGAAGAAGGCTTCCCAAATACTAGTGGCCCACCCTAAGGAAGGCCAGCACCCACCAATCTACAAGAGTGACCCAGAGGAAGAGCCGCCATTTAGCATATCCCTGCCTTATGCCCCAGAGCCAAGAGCGCCGGAACCGAATGCTCCAGAACCAAAGGCCCCCGAGCTAGAAACGCCCCCACCGTCAGTTTCACAGCGGTGTCAGGCGGAAGCAGTCCCAGCCTCACCAATGGCAACCAGACGCCATCCCAAACAGGCCCTACAGCTACCCTTAAGGGAGACCCAAGGGTCCCCGCAAGTCGGACCCGATGGGACTGAGCTACCAGGGTGTACGATAGTCTACTATCAGCCTTTCACTACTACAGATCTCCTCAACTGGAAACATCACACTCCCTCATACTCTGAAAAACCACAGGCCTTAATCGACCTTATGGAGTCGATTATACAAACTCACCGGCCCACGTGGTACGACTGCGGGCAGCTACTCCTCACCCTATTCAATACAGAGGAGCACCGGCGCATACTCCAGGGAGCCCTCCAATACCTAGAAACCACGGCACTAGTGGGGACACTAGATCCGGCGCAGTGGGCCAGAATGGCTGCGCCTGAAGTCCAGCCAGAATGGGACCACCACACTGAAGAGGGCAGGGTGGCACTACAGAGGTATCAAGAAGCCCTCCTCCGTGGCATCCGAGCAGGAGCCAGAAGGCCCACCAATATGTCTAAAGTCGCCAATGTGACCCAACGACCAGATGAATGCCTGGGAGATTTCTATGAGTGATTGTGTGAGGCATACCGAATTTATACGCCATTTGACCCCGAGGGGCCAGACAATCAAAGGATGGTAAATACGGCATTCGTCTCCCAGTCCTCCTCGGATATCAGGAAGAAGCTTCAGAAGCTCGAAAGTTTTGCAGGAATGAACATTAGTCAGCTCATAGAAATCGCCAATAAGGTCTACAACAACTGGAGGAAGTGGCTGAAAGGGAGGCCAGAAAGAGAATGGAGAAGAAAGCAGCCCTCCTGGCGGCAGCCCTAGGACGACCTGCACTGCCTCCGAGAGGACCCCTGACTAAAGAAAGGGCTGGGCACCACCGGGTAGAAGCTGATCAGTGTACTTATTGCAAGGAGAGGGGCCACTGGAAAAGGGAGTGCCCCAACAGGAAGAAGAAGAGGCAGATTCAGGGCGCTCCTCAGCCTGAGACTCCCGCCCCAATTGTCCTCAGCCTGGTGGGCATGGACTCAGACTAGGACAGACCGGGCTCCCTGAATCTTGGCCCCCACGAGCCCATGGTCAAGTTAACTGTGGGGGGTCAAACTCTCCCTTTCATGGTAGACACAGGAGCTGAGCACTCCGTGGTAACCACTGCCATAGCCCCCCCGTCAGGGTGTGAGATCTCCATTGTAGGGGCAACCGGACTATCGAGTGGCCCGAAGAGGTTCTGCCAAGCCCTAACAGTAGAATTAGGGGGCCATCAAGTAAGACATGAATTCCTGTACCTCCCAGAGTGCTCAGTCCCACTCCTGGGACGGGACCTGCTGGCCAAACTAGGGGCCCAGATCTCCTTTCAGCTATCAGGGGAAGCCCACTTACAGGTCAGGGCACTGTCTGTGATGGCAGTCCTCATTCCCAGGGGAGAGGAGTACCACCTCTATGAGAAACTAGAAGGAAGCGCAAGAGGCCCAGACGCAGACGAAAGAATGGCCAAACTCCGCACACAGTATCCCCAAGTATGGGCCGAAGATAACCCACCAGGACTGGCCAGAAACCATGCCCCCCTCATCATAGATATGAAGCCTGGAGCGGGGCCAAAGCAGATCTGCCAGTACGCCATCCCGTGGCAAGCATGGCTTGGCATAGCAGAAGTTATCCAAAAGCACCTGAAGGAGGGAATACTCATTCCTTGCCAGTCCCCATGGAACACCCCGCTGCTCCCGGTAAAGAAGCCAGATGGGATGGGATATAGGCCAGTACAGGACTTACGGGCCGTAAACGAGGCAAAGGCCACCCTGCATCCAGTAGTTCCGAAACCATACACCCTGCTCAGCCAACTCCCTCCAGAGGCTGCCTGGTTTTCGTGCCTAGACCTGAAGGATGCCTTCTTCTGCCTCTGACTAGCTAAGAAGAGTCAGCCCCTCTTTGCCTTTGAATGGGAGGACCCGCACTCAATGGCCAAAACACAATTAACTTGGACTAGGCTGCCCCAAGGGTTTAAGGACTCCCCTACTCTTTTTGGGGAAGCCCTAGGATGGGATTTAAGGCCGTTCATGGACAGTGAAGCTGACCTGACCCTACTACAGTATGTAGACGACCCTTACTGGCAGCGGCTACGTCGGACCGATGTTGGGAAGGGACCTGCCAATTACTAGAACTTTTAACCCAGGCAGGATATCGAGTCTCGTGGAGAAAAGCCCAAATCTGCCAACCCCAGGTAAAATACTTGGGGTTCCTAATCTCCCAAGAAAAGTGAGTCTTAAGCCAGGAGAGGAAGCAGGTGATCCAGGCCCTGCCTGTCCCTGCAACCAGAAGGAAGCTACGTGGGTTCCTAGGAGCAGCTGAGTTCTGCCTCATCTGGATACCTGGATATGCCGCCCTCGCAAAACCACTATACCAGGCACTGAAGGGTCCGGACACGGCCCCCTTCCTATGGGAGGCAGAACAGGAAGACGCCTTCCAGATCATCAAAAACCACCTTGGTCAAGTCCCCGCTTTAGGCCTGCCAGACCCTAGTCGCCCTTTCGAACTGTACATGCATGAAAAGAAAAAGACAGCTCTGGGGGGTCTTGACGCAGAAAGTAGGACCATGGTGGAGGCCAGTCGCCTATCTGTCCAAGCAGCTGGACAATGTCGCCGCTGGATGGCCCTCGTGCTTACGGGCGATAGCCGCTGCAGTTATACTCCTACAAGAAGCGGACAAATCAACCTTGGGACAGGAAATCAACCTATTTGTCCCGCATGCTGTATCTAACCTTTTAGTGGGACAAGGTCACAAATGGTTGTCAAACCCCCGGCTGACCCAGTACCAAGGAATATTGCATGAGAACCCCCGAGTAAAGATTAATACGGTGCAGCGGATGAACCCGGCCACTTTCCTCCCTACTGAACTCGGAGAGCCAGACCATGACTGCCTAGAAGTGATGGAGGAAGTGTACTCCAGCCAGCCAGACCTGCAGGACCAGCCCCTAAGCCAGCCAGACCTGACTCTGTATACGGACGGCAACAGCTACATGACCGACGGGAAATGCCTGGCTGGGTACGTGGTAGTAAGTGGTAAAGAAACACTAGAGGCAAAACCCCTACCAGCCAGGTGGTCGGTGCAGAGGGCAGAACTGTGGGCATTAATCAGGGCCCTAGAGTTGTCAGAAGGGAAGAAGGTCAATATATACACAGATTCTCGGGATGCCTTCGCCACTGTACATATCCATGGCATCATCTATTGGGAGAGAGGACTGCTTACCGCCAAGGGGAAGGACATTAAAAATAGGGCTGAAGTACTTAGGCTGCTAGAGGCAGTGTGGGCTCCGGCCAAGGTGGCAGTAATCCATTGCCGAGGGCCCCAGAGAGAAGGAACAGAAATAGCAAAAGGAAACTGGCGGGCAGATCGAGCGGCTAAGGAAGCAGCTCAGGGTGCAAGTGCCCCAGCCAGCGCTCCAGCTCTAGAAGGAGCCATGTTAGAGCTCAGCCCTACGCAATCGGACTATACTTCTGAGGAACAAAAGTGGGCGATCCAGACGGGGTGTACTCAGACTACGACTGGCATCTGGGAACTGCCAGATGGGCGGCTATATGTGCCCAAGACCCAGGCAAGCAATCTAGTGAGGCAATGCCACACCCTGACTCATCTAGGGAAAACGTCCCTGGAGGCCTTGTTAAGGAAATATTACTATTTCCCCAACCTGGCCAGCATATGCGCTACAACTGTGGCCCGGTGTACAACCTGCGCTCGGAACAACGCTGCTCCACACCCACAAAGGACCTTCGGCATTCAACACAGGGGACAGCAGCCCTTTGAGGACTTTCAGGTCAACTTCACAGAAATAAAGCCAAGCCAGGGTTACAAGTACTTGCTAGTCCTTGTCTGCACCTTTTCGGGGTGGGTAGAGGCTTTCCCCACCCAGACTGAGAAAAGCTCCGAGGTAGTAAAAGCCCTTTTAAGAGAAATAATTCCCCGCTTTGGACTGCCGACCTCCATCGGCAGCAATAATGGGCCAGCCTTTGTCGCCAAAGTCATCCAGGAGCTAGCAAGGCAACTAAGAATAACCTGGAGGCTACACATGGCATACAGACCTCAAAGCTCAGGGAAGGTGAAGCAGATGAATCGAACTCTGAAGGAGACACTAGCAAAATTCCATCAAGAGACTAACCTGCCATGGCCTGATTTATTCCCCTTAGCTTTGTTCAGGATTTGAAACGCTCCTAACTCCACAGGCTACACACCCTTCGAGCTCGTGTACGGGCGACCACCAGCAATATTGCCCATCCTGAGGGGAGAACTACAAGTAATCGGGGAAGCCAATCAGACTAGGTATCTCCAGAAACTGGGGAAGACACTAGAACAGGTACACAAGGCCGGACTAGGCCCAGACCCAGTCCCTAGAGGGGGGCCAGCGCACCCTTTTAGGCCAGGAGATTACGTGTGGGTTAAGGACTGGAGGAAGGAGCCACTCCAGCCAGCTTGGACCAGATCCCACTTAGTCATATTAACAACCCCTACTGCCCTTAAGATTGCAGGAGCAGC